TCTCTCTCTCTCTCTCTCTCTCTCTCTCTCTCTCTCTCTCTCTCTCTCTCTCTCTCTCTCTCTCTCTCTCCTCCCCAAGGTTAAATAGACTCCCTATCTCTTGTGCTTATGGTGAGAACGGAAGTTGATAAGTAAGGTTTGGTTCTCAGGACAAGGATAAGGATTCGAGCAAGTTCAGCCGTACCTGTCTTCCGACAACAGTAGATGCATAGAATCCACGTGCTCCCTGTCCAGCTGCATCCCCAATTGCAGCCCCAGCATAGTACATACCGAAAACCTGCGTGGCTAGAACCTTAAGAACTTAGTTGCAAATTAGAGAATTGGCAGCTTTGTGCATTTGCAAGCCCTACGAGTAGTAGTAGTAGGGTGCCCATTCAAAGAACTTGTGCAGACACACTCACAACGAGGCATAAGCATTCGCATGCAACATGTCTTTGCTAAAACCCCTTACAGCATTTTCATGATGTTTTGCTCAGGGGTAAAGTTTCACTCTATTGAATATCTGCAAGGAATTGACGGTAGTATTTTACTCAACGTTAAGTAATGGATGGGCTTTCCCAAGTGCAATTCACAATGAAAGACAATGCCACCAAATTGCGAAAGAAATGAAAGCACTTGCAAAGAGATATGGACCAGAGGAGAGAGAAAGAAGAAGAAGAAGAAGAAGAAGAAGAAGAAGAAGAAGTACACCRGCAAGACAAATGACAACTCCCCCTTCTCTCTCCACCTTCCTCCTCCTTCCAACTTTCCCCAATCTTATTCCTCTTGCAATAATAATAATAATAACAATGAATGAATGATCCAGAATCAATGTCCGAAGTTCCCCCTCACTGCTGACTCATACATCGGTCCACCATAGCCATGGCTCCTCCTCCTCTCATCTCTCTAAGCCTAGGCTATGGCGGACTACTTGGGCCTAGCCCTGATGTGCAACGGCCAACCCCAAAGCAGCTATGGTGCTGCTTGCTGCTCCGCCATGCCTGACCCTGCTCGGACCTCCTTRGTGCCGTACTACCCCAGCGGGGCCTTCCAGATGCAGCGCCCTACCAGGTGATGAAGATGGAGTCCACCATACCCAGGTAAGTACCTCGCCACTCTCCTACCTTACCCCCTTCTTCCTCCTCCTCAAGCTGGACCGCTCGCCATAGCCAGGCTGAGCTCCAGCTGCCTTCACCTCCAAGCAGCGCTGTATGGACCAGCGCTGCGCTCCAGCAGCATGTCGCCAATCCTTGCACACCGCAAAACGAGGAAGAGCCTCTGGCTCTTCCTGAAGATATAGCGGCCTACCGGCCTCCTGGGCGGTGACTTCCTAGGCCGAGCGGCCTCCCAGCAACCGGTACCTCCTCACTTTCGGAGGGAAACATCATTGCAGGCTCTGTTATTGTCCGGACAGGCCCTAGACCCGGGCTACTTGGACTGGTACCGGCCTACCTCTAGCCTACCGCTACTGGGCCTCTAAAAATGCCAACTTTTTGTCTTCTTCTGCTCGGCCTACCTGCTACGTGAGTGTTTTTCCCCAGCTGCTCTAAGTGCCGTGGGCCTACCCCCGCTACCTGCGTGTTAACCCCCCCTGCAACCCTTCAAAGTCACGGCCACAGGTAAGTACCGGCCCTGCGGGGCCTTGCAACCAACAGGTACCCTTACGGGTCACACACACACTCAACCGTCAAGCACTCAGACAGGCAAGCAAACGGGCAGGCATGCACACACACACAGACTTGGAAAACACAGCAGAATGCGGGAATCACGGCAAGGCATTCATTCCAGTGGCAAATCCCAGAAATCAGCAGTGTTCTCAGTCTGTGCTTTGGCGGGTCATTACAAATGTGTCATCCTTGCGCAGGGGTTATGCTAATCTTCTTTTTCAGTACCGTTCCAATTTTAACGGATGTCCCAAAGGACTGTTCATACATATATTTATCTTTGTAACAAACCGAAATTCAGATGCTCACGATGGAGTCTCACAAGAACTCACAAGGCTCAGCTCATCGATAACAACCAGACTCAGACCGTAATGAATGACAACAGACATTGTCGAGATGAAGAGCAAAAGCACGAAAGTATTAAAAAAAAAAATGAACAAAGAAATTGAAAGAATACAATGTTCACCTTCCCCCCCCTTCCTCTGCTTCCATGCGATCTCTTCTTGCTACCTCAGCGTATCCAACTAGCAGTTACAAGGCTTTAACCCCCGACTCCTTCACCACCAATCTGACACAATGTCACTTCCCAGGTCGATCTCTCTCTACAGAGCTTGCCTATCCCAAGCTTCCGGGTGCGTGGAACTTGAAATGACAACGTCGATTTCTGAGGCAGTATGGAGTGTCCTCTTCGATTACGACCTCATTGCCACCCATAAGCTATGGTGACCTTCACTAACACCAGCCCCTCTCTCTCTCTCTCTCTCTCTCTCTCTCTCTCTCTCTCTCTCTCTCTCTAGCACAAGCGCGAACAATCGCGAACAATAAGAAGTCTTGGAAGTACAAGAGACCTCAGATACTGTATAACAGAATTTTCAGCATGACAATCAACAAGTCGAGAGTTCAAACACTTGTGAATGCAGAAACTATCCAAGACTGACCGCAGCGTAAACACGACAGTCGTGGCAAAATTTGCCAATGAGGGTCACACTAACAGGGAATGGAATGCAGCCCAAAAATTGAAATGCTTCACATCCCTATCCTTCCATCCATCCATCAAACCATTTATCCATCTCCATCCATCCCGTCATCCATCCATCTCCATCACCATGGGGTAAAATCCTGGCTCTCCCACTTTGTGGCCTTCATTAATTACATGTATTGTGTACTTGAGGGCGCAAAAGAAACAGTAAACTTCTTTCTAGGATAGATCCCATTATTACCTGGTGGTAGTTCTCTCTCTCTCTCTCTCTCTCTCTCTCTCTCTCTCTCTCTCTCTCTCTCTCTCTCTCTCTCTCTCTCTCTCTCTCATCCACCGTCCACACCTCTCCCGTCACGTCTCATCTGTCCTTCAATCTGTTCATCTTCCACCCATTCGTCCACACACCTACCCACCTACCCACCTCCT